AACAAGCGGGGTGAGAATGGGGAGGACAAGGGAGATCACATCACGATCCTTACAAATTTCTTACTTCTACATACATCAATAATACTACTTCTAAATCCTTCTAGTTCTGCTACTATGTTGCGGTGGGAAGGAGAAAGGAAAGGGGCTGAAAATATGTCCAGGAAGGAGTAGGGACTAAAATCTCAGAGTAACAACAGCACAAGGGTCCCTACAGTTCATTAGTTTGCATAACTGGGTATTCCAATCACTAGGTATGACTAGAAATAATCACCCAATTACACTTTGAAATGAGCATCTGAATAGAGGGAATAAATTAATATGCAGAAGTTTGGTAAACAGCAAATCCCATTTTTCTGGTGAACAGTTGGTTTGCAGTTTTAATTGCCCACAAATGCCAGCCTCCTGTGCAGTCCTTCCTGCAGCTCAAATATATTACTAACTAATCTACACTAACCATAAGCATGGCAGCAAGCAGACTAACTCAGTACAGCCCAACACCTACAGCAATACTTAATGCACAAATATAGCACACCTGAAAGGAACACATCAGAGTTTCATCCACACTCATCATGCCCCCTGCATTGTCAAACTCTCCACAATAATTTGGAGCTGAGAATAGGGTGACCAACTGCCGTTTAGCAAAGAATTCATATCCATCTTCAACCACCTGTCAACAACAGAGAAACCAATACAGCTTACATAAAGAAAGAAGAATTTTTAAGGAATAAAAGACCACCTTCAGGCAAACAGGACTCTGTAACAGAGAGATGACAAGAACTCAAAAAGCTATTTTAGATCTTGATTTTCAGACAGGACAGGTTCAGTCATTTTGTCTTATCTGACACTGAATGCCAGGCCAGGTAGCATATCCTGTGTCTGCCACTTCCAATGTGTAAGTATATATTTTACATATAAAAATAAAGAAATAAAATAAGATATATAAGGTAATATACATTTGCTTGACTGTTTAGTATTTTCATAGCTGAAGTCCAAATATGCACTGCCAGTTTAAGGATTTCCAGCATTTTATGGTTTATACACAGGATGTAGATGTTTGACCTAATTAGTCTAGAGCACACAAGGTCTAGATACTCTCTTTATTGCAACTTGTAACAAATAAGTTTCACTTGCACTTGTGTTGATTGCACAAACCTCAAGCCTAGGCTCTTTTATAATTCTGGTGCTCTAAAAGCAAAGTGGTTCTGCCACATTTTGTTGAAGAGCTTAAGACACCTTAAAAATTGTGCGAGTATGACGGATCAGCTAAGGATGTTCCCTCTCCCCCCCTAAATAAAAAACTTGTGTTATAATGTAGTGAAACCAGTGCACTAAATGCTCACTGTGGTGCAACCACCACAATCTTTTAAAAGATGTCATGTTTATTTTTATAAAGAACTGAAGCACCTATATGAACACAGGAAATTGGCAGCAGTTAACAAATCTAGTCAGTGTCCGGAACAAATATTAAATCTTCTCTAATGTTTTAGCACTAAAATTGCAAAGAGAAATATCTGGAGTGTTCTGATAGTGTACCCAAGCCTAACAGTGACATGGAATAAAGAGTCTATTTTTGCTTCACAACAGGAGAGAACACTTTTAAAAAGTGACTAAATAATGAAACTGAAATGTTATACAGGAAATTGAAACCTAATGTCCACGTAACGGGGACTCTTTTATTAAGTTACTTTAAACAAGTGGACTTAAGATTGAGGATGCCAAAAATAACCTGACTTGCTGAAACGTGCAAAAAGCAAAGCAATCTACGCCAAAGTACTCTAGAGAGCTGAACCAAAATAAAGGCAACAGAAGAAAGATTTTATGTACAGACTTGTTTGTAGAAAGGTTCAAAATGCACTCAATACAAAGCCAAGAGGAAGTAGTTTAAGCCACAACTACCAGGGAACTGTCTATTACCAAAATGCAAGAACTCAAACTCAACAAAATGAGAAGTTTCAAATACATCCTACTGATACGGACCAGCCAAGAGGCAGAAAATCTAGAAGGAGAGGTTTAAATAAGTAACAGCAGCAAAATTCTTACCTGATGAGCTCGACAGATCAAATCCAGGTCATGACGATTCAGAAATTTACTGACCACGTCAGCACCAAAAGTGAAAGAGACCCCACGATCATTTTCACCCCAACCTTGCACATCTTTGTCTGGGTCAGACCACAGCAGGTCACAGAGCAAGCCTTTGAAAGACAATAGAAGTGAAGATATAAGTTTTAGGAGGTATCATTCTGTAATGTAAACCAATTTTATTGCAATTACCAGAGCAACTCTCCTAAAGGAAAATAAGCCTTAACATCAAATGCAGCAATACTTAAACTGTGACTCACAGGATATGGTCTGTGTAAATCTGGAGATTGTTCCCTCCTCACCACCGACAACACCATGAAATGAAAAATGTCAGAACCGAATAGTTCTCTGAAATAATATTTAATTATAATATCCAGTGTGTTTACAGTGAGCATTTGAGAAATTTAAAAACACTGAAGTGTGTGTGTATTAAAGGCGACCCTCAATATCACAGCTTACTGAGAAAGCTTAATTTTAAAGCTGCAGTAAAGCTTAAACTCCTATGCAAGGCCAGCCACAAATACAGCAAGTGAACTTGTACCATAAGCTTCTGAACGTGGAACAGCTTTGATTCTTACCTTTCTTACCATACACGAAGAACCTTTTGTGAGTAAATCAAAATGTAACACAGCAAAATGCTGATACATTGTTTCAGGTAGCACAGTCAGTTCGCTCAGACCGCTGTTGACTTTTCAAAAAGCCTCGTGCCAACCAGTCTGGAATCTAAACTAGAACAATAAACCTCTCTGGCGTTTTAGCACTGGTCAAGATCTTCTTTTCTGCTGCTAACAAAAGGTCAGCTAACTCTGGAGTTAAAACTGGGTACTAAAAAAGATTTCTCTAGATCAACTGCAATGCCTTTACACATAGAACTTTCCATGAGTTTTCACAGGAGAAACAACCCAGCCAATTCAACTACAACACAAGCAAAATCAAAAGCATTCAAAAGGTATTTCATAGCTTTCCATGAAATTGTACTTTCTTTACCTGTGTTGACTAACCCATAGACATTTAAATACTTAAGAGCACCGTTTCACAATCTGACAGATATACCAGCAGGCTCCTTCATCTGGTGCTCAGCGATTTGATTTACATCTGGTTATTTGTTAAACAAAATATTAAAGATGCTATTTCTTAAATAACAGATCCTTCAAGCTGTAATCAAGCAAAACAATGTCTGAAACCTACTGTGCAACTAGACCGTCTAGTATTTACATACAGCTCTCAAACAGTCTTTGGCAGCACAGCTCCTCTCTAGCAGAGGCTAAACTTTTACTTGCTTTTAGAACACAAGTAACAAGTACAACTGCATTTTAGATCAAATTCCTATCTAGAAATAAACTACTGAATACAGTGTATGACAAAAAACATACTGAAATCAAGTTCTACATTACCTTGTTTTTCAAAATCACAGTATCACTGCAGTGCCTAATGGTTTCTTACCATGAATTCCCAGCAAGTGACATATGCTGCTTGTCTCAGCTGCTTAGAAAGTGCTTCCTCTTCTAGTCTCTCCCCCAAGCTATATAATCTTTAGGGTTATACAGAGCAACAGGCAAATCTCTCCTATGATCTTTAGCTGTGGTGTAAAAGTACTCTGCAAGGAGTTTGTCTAAACTGTGCTGCCCAAATAGGTTTATATTTTAATATGCAACATCTACCATTGCAATAGTTTAGGCTGACCAAGAGCACACTAAATACGTCTGATACAAGACATTCAAGATTACACAAAAGAGGGAATTACAGTTTCCCGACAAGCAGATGGTTGGCAGTGCTGACCAAAACATGTAATTTATACCCTGGCCTCAAAAAATGCCAATATTTATAATGGTTATCAAAGACAAGTGATAAGTTGGAGTACAGAATCAGATTTGAGCAAACAGCTTCCAAACCACACAAAAATGCCACTGAACTAGGAAGTCTTCAAATTACAGGTAAGGTTGAAGAGGCTTTTTTATCATCAGGCTTGAAGAAGCCATCATAATGATCTGATCTTAGCACAGACACACGAACATCTATGAACAACTTCTACATCAACACAAACATTCACCAAGGGACACCTCTCCACAAAGAGATAGCTTTTAAAGACAGCTGATTTTAAGGGCTTGTAACTGCCACAGAAGTGAGACTACTTCAGTTTATTTTCTGAACTATTTACTTCTGTTATGTAATACTGGTTTCCTTACACAGGTCCAGAAGGCCAGGACCTTCTATGTCACAGTACCACATGCACACAGCTCTGATGGGACATTTCATTTTAGCTGAGGGTACACATACAGCTATTGCTTCTGTAAGCAAAATTAAGACTACAAAAGACTACATAAATCAAAAGCCTTTTCAAAAAAATTTCGATACTTATTTTTAGGAACACTAAGACGACATGATTTCAGTATAGTGTCCATGGA